GGTTTTTGATCAATTAATTACAATTTCTATGAAGCAGAAGACATATAATGTAATTTAGCTATACAAATCGTTTGGCATTGATTAAGAAGTAATACAGGATGTGATAATTTTTATCTCTTAGTATATTAAGTGGTAAAACCAACAGTTCATTTTATTTTGTTACTGATATGTTCTATGGAAAATCTAAAGTTCATTTAGTATCGTTAAAAACATTAATGTATTAAAGATAGTTTTTATGTTTAGTGCTATTTGTGGAATCACAGAATTATACATCTGGTTTTAGTAGCTTGATTTGTGGCATTTTAAAGAGGAGATCACCTTTCGGAGTCTCATCTAGTTTTTTAATACAGAGTCAAAGTAATAGGTCTGCGAAATGAGAAGTCTTTTTATGAACGTTAGCACATAATAGTCAGTGTTTAACACTGGACGTAATTATTTGATCAGATATTAAGTATCTGGTGAGTTTACATTTCTAAATATAGTAAGATTTTATATATAGTTATCATTTGATCAGAATTGTTGTATCATGAGAAATGCTAAAAATGTAATCTGAAAACTCATATGCGTTTTTATAACATTCTTAGATAAAGACAATTACTACTAATAAATGAACCGACAGTTATTCTTCAAAGGCTTATATCAACGAAATTTGTTGTTATTACAATGCAATCATACAACGTTATATGCTGGTTTACATTCACATTGTACGATATAACTGAATTATTATGTAACTGAAAGATTGTTTATTATTTTGGTGGTGTTTTGTTCTCTGAGCTGGATGGTTTGGTCGTGGAGCTTTCATCGTTCTTCTGAACGACATCATCAGCACAAACTTCAGATAGAAGTGAAGTGTTCGAATTTCTCCATATGTGTTTCACAGCTTGTTCTGTGCACCTCGATGCACCTCGATGAAAGCTCCACGATCAAACCATCCAGCTCAGAGAACAAAACACCACCAAAATCATCCACCTGAGCTACAAATCCTCTCCACCATTGTTTATTATTAAATTCAGATTATCAAAAGTAATCTTCATCAAATTTATTAGAGCACTGTGACATTAATGAAAGTTTGAATCAATACGTTCTTGATTCATTTAGTGTTGTTTACTTGTATCTTCCCGTTGCTATTTAAGACTGCATTTGATCAGTGACTTGTTGGCATATGTCCATCCTGTACACACTGCTTCAATATTACCTGAAGTCACAAGCTTTATAAGCAAAGATGGATAATGGTTAGCAGTGGAATCCAGGACTTGTGTTTCATTCTATTTAGGGCTCTTCAGCTCTAAGATGCATGTTCATCCAGCTGACGATTCCTAAATAGAACGAACCACACGTTCAGGATTCCAATGGTGACTACTATCTATCTTTGCTTATAATGCTTTCTTAAGTTTTTAAATGTACCCGTCTTGATACAGTGATAAAAAAAGGTGATGTCTAACATATGAATTACAAATCAACAGTTGTAATGAACTCGATTATCAACAATGTAAATTTATATAAAATACTAAAATTATATATATATATATATATTCAACAAAAGAATTTACCCACAAAAATGTTTACCAACTACACATTGCCAAGTGTTTGTATATTTCCTATCAAAATTTCTCTTGATAAAATGTGCAATACTACTAAAATCAGAATCCATAGTAATCGCTTCTGTTGCTACTTGTGCAGCATATTCTTCTAAATCTGTAGGCATTGCACTATTTATGATGATCACTTCATATTCTTTCATTATATTTAATCAAAATTATTAATTCTTTGATTAATCAACTAAATAATTATAAATTTCAATTTGTATACAAGTGGTTTGTTTAAATAATTCATAAATAACAACAACAAAACAAAATAAGAAGTTATGATTGGAACAAAAAAAGTTTTTTTTTATTTTTAACATAAAAAATAATATTTAACCACACATTTTTTTCACAAATCTATAGTGAGAAAAAAAATCACAATTTTAGTTTATTGTGTTGATTTATGCTAAAACCAAAAAAAAAGAAAAAAAGAAAAAGAAAAAGAAAACAAGAAAAAATTTTCAAAATGTTTTTCTGATTCTGTCTATCATATGATCTGAACTTATTTTATAATTGATCTATTCATTATGAAATTAAGTTAATTTATAAAATATTAATTATGAGTATTTTACAAAAAAATTATGTAAAAATAAAATTATCAGTTTAGGGGTTGTGGTGGTGGTGGTGGTGGTGGTGGTGGTGTTCTAACATCAGTCGGTTCATGATCTCAATCAAAAACTTAACAATCTGCACAACCCCTATACTGACAATGATCATGTGATCACTAGTGACAAGCTTCGTTAGAAAATTCTTGGAGTTCTAGTGAAAAGCCGTGACCAGTAGAGCTAGTCTATGTCGGGTAGAGACAGGTATCTACCACAGTACAATGGAAAACGGTCGCGCAATTTCATAAATTGGTTGAGGTTAGACATTAACATCATTGGATGCCGTCTCAGTGGTCCAATAAGTTAAGCGTTCACGTGCGAGACTGTAGGCCCTGGCTTATAATCCTGCGAGCGGGATCGTGGATGCGGACTTTTGAAGAATTCCAAAATATAACAAAACGGCCATCCAGTGCTTCCAGGTTTTCAACGATGATCTAACATCAATTTGTTCATGATCTCAATCAAAAAGATAAAATAAAATCAATTTTTTTCCATTTTTATTTATAATAATAATAATAATAAGGTTGAATAACTTTAGAATAATGTTAATAAATTAAAAATTAAATACAAAATGACATGGATCTTTCATTGTTCTTCTGAACAATAACATCAGTACAAACTTTAGGTAGAAGTCTTCTATACAATTTATTGGATTTCCATAATTTTATATTATTGGTTCATTTTTATCATTGTTAATGAGAATTTATAGTATTGTCAAATGGAATTATATTAAACAGAGATGAATAGTGGATAGCAGTGGAATCCAGAACGCGCATTTCATCCTATTTAGTACTTGTTAAATGGATGTACTCGTATCTTAGAGTTGATGTTTACTCCGAGACTCGGATTAAGTACTGTTCGTTTCAAAAGCCATTGTATTATTCACTTAACGACTGAATCCTCAATTAAATGAACATTTGGATTGTAGTTATAGCACAAGAAGTGAATTTATTTCAGTGCATTCTCTGATTCTATCAAATATGTACTTTCTTCTTTTTACAAATAAAATGTATTATATTTTTGATTTTATGTGAATATGTGTACAACCATTTACTTTGCTAGTAAAAAAAAATATTTATAGTTATGTTAAACATTCATACAAATTCACTTTATACATGAACAGAATAAGCGAGAGAGAAAACACATTGGACTGAAATATGACTAATAACTTTGTTTTGTGTGTAGCAGCTAGTTGTGGAATTCTACTTATTTACTTTAGATGCATGTTAGCACACTTTACAGAACAACCATTATCCAATAAGACAATGCAAATACTTTTCATTTCATTGTCAAATAAATCAACAGAACAAAATCTGATTCTCCGCACAGAATACCATTTGAATAAACTTCTGCATTAAATGAAGTTGACCGGAAGCTATTTAAATGTGAACATTGACCAGTCCAAGAAAATTCAGTCTGTTTTGTTTGAGATATTTTGCATGTGAACAGTAAATTCGGGTGAGCCTAATTGTAACGCCATTGTAGCTTATTAGTAGGATCTTTGTCTTCATATTTGATTATATTATCGTCGACATATTTCACGTGTGAAGACATTCGAATAAAAGTTTCTACAACAGTTTATTATCTTCTATGATTTGCATTGAGTGACTTTGTGTTATGATGTCACCATATATCGAATAGTTGCATAAACTGGAAGGAGAGGCACTGTGAATTGAAATCAGTTCTATAGATATCATATAATTTAAATCTTCTACATTACGTTTGTACATTTAATATTTATAACATTTTATTTTGAAGATATTTCTTTTTGAAAATATAGTTTATGCGCGATTCCCGTAAAAGACATTAGATAAATACAAATTAATCTCACTTTCTGAAACTAAATCATTTCGAATTCTTAAATGTTAATACAGTGATTAACTCTATATAATGTGATTCAAGGCAATCGCCAGGACAAACGTTTATGTTAATGGTAATATGCAATCAAGACCTATTTGCAATCTTTAGAAAATCATTGATCTCATGAGATTCAAACAAGGGAAACGCAATGGTATGGTCAAAGATTTTACTCCATGGCTATTCTGATAGCTTTTTGCCTAACACAGGACTCAGGTAATAACACTTAATGGGTAATGAGTAGTAAACACCGATATTTAAATGTTGTTTCTTGACTTAGAATAGTCGTTCTACTGTTGTTTTCAATTTAAAATGTGGAAAAAAGTTTATAAATATTAAACGGCTATATATATATATCACAGGATATTAGACACATGTGCATTTCATTCGAAGTGATTTAAAGTACAAATCATAAATAAGCAAGCATATTTTAGTTCAATTTGACCTGTGGTTTCAACGAAGTTTTCGAAGTTATAGATTCTAAAATCTGTCACTCAAAATCACTAATTCGACAAACAAAGATGAACTGACTTGCACAAACAAACTTAATGATTTAGTCGTTACCAAGTGATTTTATATAACTTGAATAATTTTTTCTGGTTAGCGTTTTTTTAGCGAATTAGTTTTCTAGGGGATGCATTCGCTAACCCCATGCTCAACCCTCCTCCTTTATCCAAGCTTATGACCGTCAGTAGCCCCAGAGGGTCCCCAGGCGGAGTTTGATAGACAGCATATGCTTCATTGGGAGTAACAGGCGTAAGTGATTTTATATACACAAATAAAATGTTGAGTAATAAAAAGGTACAAAACTTTGTTGACTTCATTGGCTCTAAATGGACATTGATTTTTGAATCCACGTTGATATTCAATCAAAAATCATACAAGTCTAAAATCATTATGGATTAAGAATATAAATTATAAATAAACAATGTAATATTGGATCAGGATTAATTATCTTCATACCTTGCTGAACATCTTTTCTTTATCGAAAGATAACATAAGAAATAATTATGTAGTTTGTCTAAAGGAATTCACTTGACCTAAAATTACTTTATTTGAAACTTGAACATTTCTCACTTTACAGATAGAATAGATAAGAATTATTGATCTACATATATTTTCTTATTTGGCCTGTTTTTGGTTTGTTAACTACAGTGACCTGATGGTATTATAATAATGAAATAAATATATATATGTGAGCATTGTTAATTAACATTACTAACTTGGTTCACCAATTCCTAATGTCCAGTATCAAACTATCAGAAATATCTGTTGTTAGATGTTATATGCGCGATGAAATGAAAAGAGATGCAATGAAGATATTACAAAAAGCAATGAATCGTTTTACAGAGGAACGTGAGGTTGCATCTTTCATTAAATCTTACTTTGATTCTCATTATCATACACATTGGCATTGTATTGTTGGAAAACATTTTGATTGGTAAGTTAGTGAATTATTTTTATAGATTTAATTATTGTATATATATTTTTTTCCGCTTAGTTCCGTGGCATTTGAAGCATCGCATTGTATTCTGTTGCGTGTTGAAGATTTTTTGGTTTTATTATTTAAATATGGTTAATTTGAACCGAAAGATTACTTACTAATTGTATATTCGACTCATATTTATTTTTTATAATATATTATTTGTAAATTTATTCCATCCTATTCTTCTCATCTCCTAAGGTCTAAAAGAATTATGGAATCTTGTCATGTATCGTATTATTACCATGTTTTTTTTCTTTTTTGTAAAGAATGGATGGGATTTCCAGTGTATATCAACCAGTAATAGATTTGTCATTGGTTGTTTCTGATGCAGCTTTTACAGTATGTTAAATAATCTTATACTAATTTATTTCATAATGTTTCTAGGATGCTTTTGGTTTTCACTGTGTATGGACTTCCTGATGACGAACCCTCACTAAGTGTTACAATTAAGGCTTTGAAACGCTTATAATAATTATGCATGTTATTAATATGAGGAGAGGGTCAGAAGAGTAACAATTTTCTGGACTGCTTTACGTAGTCCTAATCAACACTGAATATGTTAGAAGAATATTTAATGAGTTGGATAAAACAATTTTATCTGAAGTCAGTTACTTCATACGTCTCACATTTCACCATTCTGTATATGAATATTCAGTATTAAGATATGCACTGATAGTCAATTAAACTGATGAGAAAAATCATACTGTTCATCAATATTTTGATGATTTGTTACAAAGATATACTCTGTTATGGCTTGGTTTCTAGTATTAAGTAATAAATATTGAGTGGGTGGGCTTTGATAATAAATCTATCTGTATAAGTATAATTGTATTTTTATATTCTTCCTACCATATATTGTCTTTATAATTGATGGGTAATAGCTTAAAAAGGTTTACTTAAAATCGATGTTCTACTTACGTAACGATAAGTTCAGTTTCAAAGTTTCACAGTTAAATAGAGATTAGTATATTTATTTACATATTATCAATAATAATAATCCGATGATAGTTAACGATTATTATATCTTCTCACTTCTTTCCTCATATGTGACAAAACGATGGAGTGAATGGTAACTGATTTCATCTTTTAAACTCATTTTAACATACAACGATGTATAATCTAGAACTAATGGTTGGTTTAATTTTGATAGAATTTCGGAAATTAATTAATATAAAAGTTAACATTTTGGTTTCTAGAATGGAATAGAAGTAAGTCAGTATACATATTAGAGATCTTTAGTATTATATGACTATCTGATTAGCTTTTTATTAAACGTCACAATATAAGCGAACATTTGTAAATAAGGTTAAATGATGTGCTCGATTATAATCCAGAAAAATAGCCTATGAAGAATCTATTATTGACTCAATATAATAACTAATATATATTGTTTGGGTGACTATTGATGAATAACTTCCGTTTCATGAAATTTATTAGTTCCTTAACTGTACAGTTAACAGACCATCATTTCCACTCAACTTGATCGATAATTAATTATGATTAAAATATGGATATATCCCTTGGAATAGTGAATTTTCTCCACCCTCCTTGATTTATTATTGTAGTCAAAAAAGGCATCAAAATAAGTGGATTAAACTGTCTGTAGTACATTATAAACTAAGGTGTTTAGACATATATCATATGTCTCATTGTGTAAAGTGTCATACATATAAAAGAGTAAGAGAACGGTGTAATTGTATTAAACATACTACAACATAACTAAACGTTTCTTCACTTAAAACTAAAATAAAACTACTGTAATTCTGATGTCAGACTATGAAATTTTCTTACTTCGTAAACACATCAATTTAATTCTGTAGTTCGATGTAACAGATTTAATATTTCTACCTTACCTCAAGATTCAAATTACTAAACACGATGCAACACGTAGAGAAATGAAGATCTAAAATAAATTTTAACATACTTATTGAAATAAAGTAGGTTATAAATTAATTTAAATATTTCACTGATTGAAGCTAGACCACCATGGAAAACTTGGAAGCACTGGACGACCGTTTCCTCCTAGTATGGGACTCCCCAGCAGTGCGCATCCACGATCCCGGACGCCGCGGGATTCGAACCCAAGACATATCAGTCTCACGTCAGGCGCTTAACCAATTAGACCACTGAGCTGGCATTCAGTGCTTCCAGGTTTTCCATGGTGGTCTAGCTTCAATTGACTCATGATTTCAATCCGTGAAATTTCTAAAATCTTCACAAAACCCCATCTGATAATTTAAATATCTCAGTAACAATCTAAATAATCCTAATGAGAATAAATACAATATCACAAGTGAATGTATTATTAATCTAATGAACAGAGACATAAATGAAGTGCATTTAAGTGAAAACGAGATTGTGAACTGCAAAAGAAAGATGTGATAATGCAACCAAATTATCAAACCTGTTGTGAAACTAACATAATAAAATAACATTGAGATTAGGGTACAAGAATAATGGCTAACGCGTTCTTTTGAAGAAGCATAAATCTGATCTTAAAATTTTGATAGATATTGCTTCAGTCAGTTTGAAAAAAATAAGAGCCTCTTTGTAATCCACCGCAAAAGATTTCAGTATACATATACAATGTCCCATAACAATGAGGTGTCCTTAAAAATTTACCGAATAAAAGTGTTTATTTATTTCAAGGGAAAATTATCAAGAAAATACTTAGGAAAGTAAGGTAGTCTCTTTTTTCTACTTATACATCTACTCAGGTACCGTTGTTTTTCACGTTCTATAATTAGATGTTTGTCTCCGTGTTAAATGCTTTGATAAATTGGTTCAATTTTGAGGATTGTTAGACAAGATAAAATTTATGACAGTATAAGTTGAAAAATAAATCATGCCGTTAGTTGATTGCTTAGACTATCTATCAAGGGAAAATATCTACCTACATAGAATTCGCTCTTATCTTCTGATTTATTATAAAAGAGACCACCGCAAGTCGGAGGATGAAACGATACATAGGTTAGTAAGTCAGATTTTCTAAGACCCTTGGCTGTTCATCCATTTTCAACAAAATAAATTATATCTAGTGTAATAAAACTAACACGGTTGAAGATTAAAATTTCGATAATGCAGTGAGAAGACGTAGTTTACCAGAATTATGTGATATATTTGCGCAATACATTTCGAACAATCCGATCACACACATACTTGTTAAGTACATTTATATATGAAAAATTAAAAGGTCAACTAGACAGGTTAAGGGTAAGTCATAACAAAGGAAAAATATTAAAGTACACAAAAACAAATGTGATTACCACTCTGGATAGTAAATCAGTACTACCAGGGTAGGTTAAGTGTAAGTACAAATTGTTTTTGAACACATAAAGGCTTCAATAAACCTTAGTATACGTCCTTGAAGGCTTTTGTACAACACAACAAATGCTGATTTGATATCAACCTTATGACCCGTCTCAATCAAATGTTTCGCAATGGATGATGATGTCTGTCTATCCTGTGATCTTATTTCACCATTGGAATTCATCTGATTCTGCAACCATTTTGGTATATGTTCACCCACCCTTAATTGCAAATCACGATTGCTCCTCCCTACCTACGTGTTTCCACACATACATGTACATTTATAGACACAATGGGATGTGACACAATCGTTTACATGCTGTTTGGGCTTTTGGTGAAACATAGACCTTGTCTTTTCGATAATGACAAGTTGGGCTGCATAAAATGTCCGGTTGATAGCTAATTTAAGTCTCTGTTTCAACATGAGACTATGTGTGTCACCTCTGAATGGTAGCGTAATATAAACTCGCTTTTTGGGTGCCAGAAGCGTCATAGGTCTAGTCATATTGCAACCCTTCCAGCGGTTTATGAACTTCAAAGGGTAACCACTATTGATTAACGCATCAGTCAAGAGCTTCATCTCTACTTCAATAGTATCACTAGTACAAATACGATTGATTCTATTGAATAAGCTCTTTATTAAACCGCGTTTATAATGAATAGGGCAGTGACTATGAAAATTAAGATATTGTCCTGTCCATGTTGGTTTTCTATATGTAGCACGTTTGATGGAACCATCATCTCTCCTAGTAATCAGGATGTCAAGAAAAGGAAGTTGGTTGTTCTTCTCTTCTTCACATGTAAGAGAAATGTGCTTTTGACTACTATCGAATTCTTCTAACAAGCGGCTTATGTCTTCAGTTTTATCACCTATGATTATTATGTCATCTACATATCGTTTATACAGACCCATCTTTCGAATTGAGTCTCCAACTAAATTTTCCACATATCCCATGAACACATCAGCCAGCAATGGTCCTAGAGGGCTGCCCATAGCTACACCATCTATTTGTCTGAAGTGTTCACCTTCAAATGTGAATTTTACATTATCTGTACATAATAATACTAATAATAAATCTTTAAGAGTTTTAACAGGAAAAGGCAGTGGAAGGTTTTTCGAAGAAATAAAGTCACACAAAATATCAATGGTTTTCCTAAGAGGTACATTTGTAAATAAAGTGTTTACATCAAAGGAGCACATTGTCTTTGTCTTTATATTTATATCCTTTAAGTAATTAATTAATTCGAATGAGTCAGCCAAAGAATACTTACAATATTGATTTCTGATAGGGTTTAATAATTTTGTAAGCCATTTTGCCAGGTTGTGTGTAGGTGACCGACACATAGATAGAATTGGACGTAGGGGGGTATTAGGCCTTATGAATTTTCGATAATCCATATAAATTAGGATATGCCGAACCCATAGGTTTTAATAAATTAAACTCATCTTTGTTAATAGCATTCATGTTTAACAATTTCACAAGATTCGAGTTCACTTTCTTTTCTAATTTACGTAATCCATCAAAGTCAACATCAGCCAAAAATTTGCTTTTATCACTCAGAATGGATTCCATTACGTCCTCTCATTGCATTATCGAAATTTATCAAAGGGACTAATTGTTTTAAATTTCTGAGAAGGTTAAAATATTTTTTTGCTGAAGCTTCATCTTCTAGTTTATAGTTACTGGATATATAAAAAATCATCCACTTACTTATATCTGAATTACAGATTTTAGTACGAAATCGTTATTTGCTATATTTAAGGACAATTTAGAATAATAGTTGCAATCCCCTTCTTTGATCTAGGAGTTGAATTTTTGGTGAGTTGTTAACCACTTTTCCACCTTGAAATTGACTCTAGAATAAGATATACAACACAAATACACAAGTCTATTCAGCTGAAAGACGTCAAACTTATTAACAGAAAGTGCTGTGTAACCAATAGTTGTTTACATTGTTAAAAATAAATGAAAAATTCATAAGTATTATACATATTTTCTACAAACTTATATCATAA